CCTGAGAAAGAAGAAGAGGCTTCTGTGGCTCCCAGCTCTGCTGGGCCTGTGTGTCTGCCGAGGGCCTCCGGCAGCTTCCTCTCGTGACTGCAGGCGAGGGGAGCGCCAGTGCGGAGATCGCACAGGGAGAAAGGAAGCTGGAGGGGCGGCGCCGGGCTCTGCAGCAGCCAGCCTTTGTGGGCACTCGTCACCACGGAGAGAGCAGAGCTGCCCTCGGGAGGGATCACCTGTGACCCGCACCTCCCACCAGACCCGTCTCCTTCCCGGGGCTCACATTGCAATGTGAGCGTGAGGGACAAACCCTCGAGCCACAGTAGGCAGCAGGGACCTGGAAGAGGCTGGCTCGTGGTGGGTGCAGAAGCCTTGCTGTGTCCTGGGGAAGCTCCCACGCAGCCGGCCACGGAGCTGCTCCCGAAGTCACACAGCTCTGGCCCCAGTCGTCACTGCCTGCAGATCCTGATCCCTCCAGGGTGCTTTGGGAAGGGGCCAGCCTCTCTTGTAAAGTGTTCGCCACCCGGCCTGGAAGCAGCAGTGTCTGCTGTGCTGGTGTCCTGTGACTGTGAGTCACTTCGCGCACGCAGAGCATGTCTGGAGCGAACCGCAACCCACTCGACACACCTGCGCCGTGGGACGCAGCGGCTCCCAGTCCCAGGAAAAGAGGTGGCGCTGCGAGAGTGGCTCGACTGCTAGTCATCCCAGAAAGGATGTCAGGTGTGTCGTACAGCTCGAAAATGCAAACTGATGGCACAGAGGGACAGTGAGAATTCTGGTAAGATGGAGCCAGATCCTGTGCTTTCTAGTCAGGCAGCAGGTCGCCTCCGGGAATCCAACACCACCCAGCACCCACGTGAGCCCCTGGGATGTGTGCGAGCGTCAGGTGCTGTGAGTGCTCGTAAAGGCCTCTGGGAACTGTCAAACGTACGGAAGCCTCAGGCCAGAGCGAAGACAAAGAGGAAGCCGAGGACCGCCCAGGGGGTGCTGCAGTCGGCCTTTGCCCGGAGCGTGTGCCAAGCCCGATGGTCACAGCTTTGCAGGAGGCAGGAAGGGAAGGCAGGCTCTGCGCACAGCAGGCCAGGAAGTCGCCCGTGAGCTCAGAACCCTCAGACGCCTGCCTGCCATCGTAGAGGCCAACGAGACGCAACCCACTGCCCCACGCCCAAAGGATCAGGAGTCACCTGCTGTCTTGACCTTCCGAGCAGAAAGAAGAAACCACTGCGGAGGTGTGGGATGACAGGCTGTTCCTAACGCCCGGCCACGGATCCTCACGCCCGGAGTAATGTAGCGTGATTCCAGACCAGCCGCTCCCAGAGGCTGGCAAATGCCCTGGAGGAGCCCACCTTCATCCAAGGCCCAAACTACAGAGAACGTGACAGTTCCCCGTGAAAACTGAGTTGCCACGTGTGGGCACAAAGCACTGCGTGTGAGACCCCTGGGAGCCATCGCTGCGTAAGCCGCACAGAGACGTGCGTGTCGGAGTCAGCAGACCAAAGCCTGAGTAAAGAAAGGCCAGTCCCCGTGGCTCAGTCTGTAACCCCGGCACTTTGGGAGACCGAGGCAAGAGGACTGCCTGAGCCCGGGGTTCTGAGACCAGCCTGGGCAACTTGGTGAGACCTCGTCTTTGCAATAAATCACAGAAAGCTAGCCGGGCGTGGTGGCGTGTGTCTGTGGTTCCAGCTACTTGGAAGGCTGAGGTGGAAGGATCACCCCTAAGTCCAGCTGTCGAGGCTGTGGTAGCCATAGTGTGTCACTGCACTCCAGCCTGGGTGACAAAGTGAGACTCTAACTAAAAAAAAAAAAGAAAGAAAGAAAGGAAGGAAGGAGGGAGGGAGAGAGAGAGGGAGGAAGGGAGGAAGGGAGGAAGGAAGAAAGAAAGAAAGAAAGAAAAGCCTGTGGGCTTGGTAACTCAGCCTGTAATCCCGCACCTTTGGGAGGCTGAGGTAAGTGGATTGCCTGAGCCCACAGGTTCGAGACATACCTGGGCAACTTGGAGAGACCTCATCTCTACAATAAATCAAAAATCAGTCGGGCGTGGTAGCGCTCGCCTGTAATTCCAGCTACTTGGAAGGCTGAGGTGGAAGGATCGCCAGAGCCCAGCAGGTTGAGGCTGCAGTGGCCACGAGCGGCCACTGCACTCCAGTCTGGGTGACAGAGTGAGACTTCAACTCAAAAATAAATAAATAAATAAATAAATAAATAAAAGGCAAAAATATCTGAAGAGAACGGGAAACTATCTTTAGAATTACCAAGCAAATTTGGAGCCATACCAAGGAAAACTTATAGAAGTGAGAAAAATACCACTGATTTTTTTTTAACCTGATTGATGGATCTAATACACTGGATACAATCGCAAGTGAATAGTGAAGTGGACCCTAGAGCTGGGGAGATACTTACACAGATACAGAGAAAGAAAGAACTACAAACGTGAGGGGAGGCGAAGGTACAGTGGGGAGTCTGTGCTCGTTTAGTTGGAGCCCTGGAGAGAGGAGAGAGGAGAGAGGAAGTTGGGAAGAGCCACTATTTCAGGACATGGTGGCTGAGAATTTGCCAGAACGGTCAGAACTCACAGATTCCTAAAGCCCAGTGAGTCCAAGAAGGATAAACCAAGTCCTAGACACAACAGAATTAAACTGGTAAATGCCGGAGGCAGCGTATTTTCCGAACATCTACTGATGCAAGACAGATGGTCTCCCCAGGAGTTATTGATGCACTTCATACTAACGGAAGCCAGAACAAGTTGACTCATGCCTTGAATGTACTAGGACGTGGTCAGTCGAGGGTGCCACACCTAGCTCATGGTCTCTTAAGAGCAGGGATGAGATGAACATCTCTGCATGTCAGTAAGAAGTGTTAGAAAATGAGAAGCGTTACCATGTACAATAGCATTTTAAAAACGAGGTCCCTAGGAATACACCTAAAAGATGTGCAAGACTTTTGTGGATAAAACTGTAGAACTTAGAGATGTTGTAGAAAGACCGGCAGAGATGAAGAGACAGGCGATATTCACAGGTTGCACACGTTGTGGTGAGGATACTGCTTTCCCAGGAGAAGCAGCAGAACCTCCGTTTTTGTGTTTTGTGCGCCTGTGCCTGTGTTTATAATTTGACAAGCTGGTTCTAAAATGAACACACAATCTCCAAAGGATGTGTCTCCACGACTCTCTTAAAAGAAAGGGCCATGGAGAAGGGTGAGCCCTATGGGAGGCAGCACTCCCGGGGAGCTCTGTGAACTCCAGACGTGCGGTGCTTGGTAGAAACCAACACCAGTGAGCAGGTGGATGAGGGATGCTTGGAGAAAACCCACGAGCATGTGCACTCTGGATTCTGGCTGGGTAAGGAGTAGGAATGGTGGATTTTAAACACCTGCTGGGGAACGGTTGGTGCACCTGTGTGAGAGAAACGTGTGTGAAGTTGGCGCCCTGCCTTGGCATTTCCCTCAATTCCATGAGGACTAAAGACATACCAGTAACGGGAAAACTACAAAAACTTTAAGAAGGTAACATTGGATAATAGCTGCATGTCCTCAGGCTATATAAGGATGGTTCCGTTTTGTTAAAGGCACTCATCACAAGGGAAGACCTTCTGGTTGTCAGCATATACTATTAAGAAGCTACACAGGCCAGGCTCGGTGGCTCAGCCTGTAATCCCAGCCCTTTGGGAGGCCCAGGCGAGTGGACTGCCTGAAACCACGGGTCAAGACCCGCCTGGGCAACTTGGCGAGCCCTCATCTCTACAATAAATCAAAAAATGAGCCAGGCGTGGTAGCGTGCGCCTGTAGTTCCAGCTACTTGGAAGGCTGAGGCGGAAGGATCGCCGGAGCCCAGCAGGTCGAGGTTGCAGTGCCCGAGAGCGGCCACTGCTCTCCAGTCTGGGTGAGAGTGAGACTCCAACTCAAAAAAAAAAAAAGTTACACAAAAGTTGAACAAATATTTGCAACACATAACTGGCAAAGGATTAGTAGCCAGAATTATAGAGAGAGAATTGGGACTCAGAAAAAAAATAGAAAGACAGCGAATCGAGTGGATATTTCCCAAGAGTAGACCCAGGCAGCCAGTACACGATACGGGAGACAGGCTGGACCACACTCGTGATGGGGAGAGTACCGCTTAAAGCCAACCGTGAGCAAACTGCACCCATCACACGGGGAAGAAGGTCTGTCCCACACCCCCGAGTCCAGGCCTGGTGGCGCACCGAGACACCGGCTTGCTGCTGGGGATGTGAGTGACACCGCTGGAAACCTCACGCAGCCACTGTGAGCCCACCAGGGCCCATCATTCCGCTCCAGGTTCACATGCTGGGTTCTGCCTCAGCACAGTGAAGACGTACGTGCCGCACATGGTGACTGAAGCGGGGCAAGGGAGCATGCCCGTCTTGGGAGTCGGGCAGGACACTCTCGGGGAGGTGAGGGGCTGCAGCTCGACGTGTTGTCACGAGCCCAACATCGCGTGGAGCATGAAAAGCAAGAAGGCGTGTGCTCTGACCCGTCGGAAATTCACACCTGGCAGAAGAGCCCGATGCGGTGTCCAGAGACGTGGGCACATGGACATCAGTGACAGCGAGGGGTGCTCCTGGGCTCCTCCTGCTACCGTGCAGAGGACGTGGAGGGAGGGGCCTGGGGGGTGACTTCTGCTCTTTGGGGATGTTTAAATCGCACCTGTGTGTCTTACCCCATGGGTGATAAGATAGAAACTAGGACAACAGAAAGCAGCCTGTGGGTGATGCTGGCCTGCGCAGACTCCCTGGCCAGAGGGCGGCCTTGTGCAGGACCCCTGGGTGGATCCAGCGGCGAGGGGGGCTGTATGCAGGACCCGGCGCTCTAGAAGCCGGAGTCCGGGAGCCGGCTGCCTGGAGCCGCGGAGGGTGGTCTCGCCCAAGGAGAGCTGAGTCCTCCCCATGTCAGGCCCTGGCAGCTCAGGGATCTCGCTTTGCTCCACAGGAGATGAGGGGCACCTGCAGGCCAGATTCTCCGCCCCAGGACTGCTCTTCTCTTCCAAGACCCCCCTGCCGAGACTGCTGCCGCCTGGCACCCACAGCCTGCCCTTGGAGAGGCCCCTGGGTGTCCAGAGGAGGTGGAACCCCCCAGCGTCAGTGCTTAGCTCCATCAGCATCCTCGTCCCCCCTGACGAGGAGCAGGCCCTGGGAGAGGTGGCCCTCTGTGACCACTGGCGGCCAGGAGCCCCTGCTATTTCAGAAGAGTCATTAGCCCAGGCCCCTGTGCCCAGGCTCAATATGGAGCTTGTCTGCCTCTCAGAGGGGGTTTGTACACCTGGGAGTCAGCGTTGAGTCAAGCCCAGCAGCTAATGATGGTAAGGCTAATTACCCTCTGGGAACTGGTGCAGAGGCCAGCCCAACTAATGATGATGATGACAGTGACCCCCTGGGAGCCAACGCCAAACTGCACAGTGGCCAGCAGTGATAATGGCGGCCCTCTGGGAGTTGCCACTAAGGCCAGCCCAGCAGCTTGTAGTGTGGTCCTGCAGAAGGCTGCGGCCTGCCTCCAGTTGATACGTGAATGTCTCTGGCCATGGCTGCCGCCGCCCTGCTCCAGGGCTGACCCTGTGAAGTTCCAAAGGGGCCATTGTAATGTCCCAACCCCATTCCCCATATTTCCATCCCTCCTCCAGGGACTTCATGTTAACACGATACTACGTCACTTGAGGCTGTCCCACAGATCACAGGTGACCTGGTCTAAAAAAATGCTTTAATCCTCTTTTCTCTGTGTCCTTTTGAATAGTTTATATTGTGAGGTTTTACAATAAATACTGCTTTCCTCTTTGATGTCTAATCTGCCATTAATCCCATGCTGGCTAGTGTATTTTTCAGCTTCAACATTGTGACTCTTACCTCTAGAATTTCAACAGGAGAGGTACCAGCTCTTCCATGCCTCCATGAATTTGTAGACATGTGGATACAATTAAGATGCTATCTTGAAGCCCTGGGGCCCCATTCTGGGTCAGTTTTAATAGACTGATTATCTCATTATGGGTCGCACTTTCCTGCTGCTTTGCATGCCAAGGTTTTTTTGTTTGTTTGTTTTGAGTCGGGGTCTTACTCTGTTGTGAGTAGCTGGGACTGCAAGCATATGCCACCACACCCAGCTAATTTTTATTTTTTGTAGAGATGAGGTCTTGCTGTGTTGCCCAGCCTCGTTTTGAACTCTTAGGCTCAAGTAGTCTACCTGCCTTGGTCTCCCAAAGTGCTGGGATTACAGGCATGAGCCACCATACCTGGCCTAAGTATTTCTGATTGGAGGCCTTGTCTTTCTGTGTCTCTGTCTCCCTATTCCCCCCTCCGCCTTGTCTTTGTCTTTCTCTGTTTCTCCCTCTGGAGGTTTGACCCTCTCCTGTTCAGGTTTGGGTGGAAGTTCGGTTTTGCTGTCTGAGCTTTTCTGTGGCTGCTGCTGGAAGCACGTCATCTGTGGGAAACCCTAGGGCCTCAGTGTCCCTCAGAGCCACCCTCAACCTGGAGAGCCCAGTGCTTCTGGGGCCCAAATTGTGACCTCTCTGTGGAGGTCCAGGGTCCAAGCTATTAAGAAAAGGGTGTGGGCGGGGCCCACTCTGGTGGCAGCAACTGGCAGGCGCCATGAGGGAGCTCCTGGGGAGGGTGGCTGTGCCTCCTGGAGTTCTGGGAAACGTACTTGTGAGTTCAATCACAAGAACAAGCTATGCCACGATGGCACGTGCTACCCAGACCATGACCCACAATCAGGACACACAGTTGGAGTGCAGGACACATACCTGAGAGTGCAGGAAATACACTTAGAAGTGCAGAACACACACCTAAGATGCAGAGGACACACTTGAGAGTGCAGGGGACACACCTGGGAGTACAGGACACTCACCTGGGAGTGCAAGGGATACACCTGGGAGTGCAGGGGACATACCTGGGAGTGCAGGACACTCACCTGGGAGTACAGGGGACACACTTGAGAGTGCAGGGAACATACCTGGGAGTGCAGGACACTCACCTGGGAGTGCAAGGGACACACCTGGGAGTGCAGGGGACACACCTGGGAGTGCAGGACACTTACCTGGGAGTACATGACACTCACCTGGGAGTGCAGGGGACATACAGGGGACACACCTGGGAGCAGGACACTCACCTGGGAGTGCAGGGGACACATCTGGGAGTGCAGGGGACATGCAGGGGACACACCTGGGAGTGCAGGGGACATGCAGGGGACACACCTGGGAGTGCAGGACACTCACCTGGGAGTGTAGGGGACATGCAGAGGATACATCTGGGAATGCAGGGGACACACCTGGGAGTGCAGGGGACACACAGGAGACACACCTGAGAATGCAGGACACTCACCTGGGAGTGCAGGGGACATACCTGGGAGTGCAGGACATTCACTTGGGAGTGCAGGGGACACACCTGGGAGTGTAAGAGACACCCCTGGAGTGGACACTCACCTGGAAGTGCAGGGAACATACCTGGAAATACAGAGAACACCTCGGAGTGCAGGGGACACACCTGAGAGTGCAGGACACACATCTGGGAGTTCAAGGAGAACACTTGTGAGTGTAGTACATACCCTTGGGAGTGCAGGACACACCTGGGAGTGCAGGGACACACTTTGCTGGGAATAGCTAAATTCTTGTTGACAACTGTGATTTGTGGATTATTATTTTATGTGCTGTTTAAATGTTATGTGTCCTGTATGATGAAAATGCCTAGTTTCTTAACTAAAGCCTCCCCAAGTGCTGGATTACAGGCATGAGCCACTGCATTTGGCCCAGAATTTGCTTTTTTTTTTTTTTTTT